GACTCCTTGACTTACAAAGACACAATCAATGCACTTTATCCAAACCTCTTGTGACATGCTTTGATACCCATCAATGTGAAAAGGCACCATGTCAAATGCAAAGATTATTATTTTTGTTATTGGTATTATTATATCATGCACAACCTATACAGTTTACTCCCTCATTTTCTGTAACTGTGCATTTACTCTCCTTTGAGTAAAGTTATGGGCAATATCTCTTGTCCCTGGGGTAACATTGCAGTCAGTCAGGGTCATTTAATATGAATTCAAATATTCCTGGAGTTGATGTCATGGAGTTTTCCTCTGATTATTTATAATGAAGAAAGTTAATGAAATAGACCATGGAAAGTGATTTACGCACAAGCTGCTACAGAATAACAACCCGTTTTCCCCAACTGGTCACCTTCTCCAGATGGTACTTCTGTTTTACTGCACTCTTGGCAGCAAAACTGCATTCAAACAATTAACTGCTAATCCTTCAGTGCAAATGTAGCATGTCTCCTCGTACCACGCAGCGCCGCCTGGGTATGATAATAGGTACAGCAGCCCCTCCAGGGCTCAACACCTGCTTCCCTGTAATTAAATCTTGGGAGATCACAGGAGTACCTTGACCTGATTCCATTTGGCCTTCAACTCTGACAGCCTTGGCTACCAACTAGAGGCAGATTGTATTTTGCTTGTTCGCCACTATGTGCTGGGCCACTTTTCACTTTTTGTGAAAAGTATCTCTTACCAAATAATTGCAAATACTGTAATTTTAACCCTTAAATGGACATTGATGCTTGCGGCTGATCTGCAGTGGAAAGTGCAGTAAAAATCAGGTTTAGCCACACAGAATGCTGTTAAGGCCTGGCTGCTTAAGGCCAACTTTCGTGTGTGGTGTTGGCAGCATATTAATTTGTATCAACCCTTTGGGACATCCTTTCCTTGGGATGTGAAAGGCACTATATAAATAAGAACATAAAAATTTGCTGGGCGAAAGACAACCAAGTTCCATCCAGTTCACCTTCCACCATGCTGGCAGTCGCTTGCACATGTCATGTCCCAACTTATGTATTGTATCCTGAGATATTATTTCCTATAAGAACATAAGATTCCCTCTGAGGACATAAATGTAATTTGTTGTTGTTGTATCCCTGCTGTACAAATGAGTCTGGGACACAGTCATTCAGGCTTCACTTTACAAAAGGAGGGACTGCTCATTGTTCATGGCTATTGGAAGAAATATGCTCAATAAGTCAACTGGCCATGTCTGGCTGCTTTTAAAAGATCACAGCCTCTGTCTGTTCTTCGAGCAGACACTGTACACAGAATCACACTGTTCCTTTAGCACTAGTAAGAAAGATGCGCTTATTCATTAAAAAAAGTCACAGAATAACAAAGTCCCTAAGGTGAGTCATCAATTTTAGAGTGAATTCACAAGGGGTGAATTCAAGTTAGCTCAAGCGATCTCAAACAGAAGGCAATGTGCTCACATGTCATCCTCTATTGACGTTTGAGCTGACCTCCCACAGGGCAAATCTTCACCAGTTTTCAATTTACACATAAGAAAGAACTGTCCATCGAGTGTGTGTGTGTACATATATATATATATACTATATGTATATAGATGTGTGTGTGTGGTGTGATTTGTGTGTGGGTGTGGATAGGTGGGGGGTATATAAAGAATTGACTATACCAGTCCCATGTCTCAAAACCCTTCTGTCTTCACACCCTTCTGGTCCAACAATGACACTACTTTTGACACAACCATCCGGACTGAGAAACCAGGAATACAGAGCATCCAAAAGAGAAAAACGACTCAAATATGAATAAAATATAACTAAATCACTGCCCTGTTTTTGTTGTATCCTCCCACCAATTAATGCTGAGTAGCAAAGTAGCAAAAAGGTACAGTAATGCAAGCAGTCTGTCAGCGTTATTAAGTTTCAGAATTCACCTAAAAGCTTTCTATCCACCTTTGCGCTTCTCTCTATCAGAATGATTGCACTCCTCGGTCTGATTGAGAGGGCGCTGGTGATTGCTGCTTGGCTTGGCTTCCAGTTATGGGGAATAATCATCAATAATTGGTGGTTGCTTCACTGCTCTCCTGACTTGCATTAACTCTTCCTATAATAGGACATTATCTTCAGGTTGGGTTTGAGAGCGGTCCCCCTGTTATTGCCATAATCTAAAAATGTAAAATACTTCCATCAGTCGTTGAGTGGGTAATGAGAGGGCATAAATGTACGATCACCACCCAAAACAACACAGGGAAAGAATAGAAACACTGTAGACCGGAGGCTTTTTTGGACGTAGAATCCCCAACCAAAAACAATGATCGGGGCAGAATGTATAATGCTCTAACGAAGGAATTGGATGAATATTTTAAAAAGAAAAATGGTATAAAACAGTATGGAAAAAGGGTAGGGGAGTGGACCTAACAGGACAGCTGTTTCAGGGACATAGTACGCACATGCTTGATGGGTTTAAAGGGCTCCTCTGTGCTGTAGAATTCTATAATTTGCTTCTGTCTTATTAGGTTGCCATTACCATCGATGGGAACTCCTGCAGCATTTTTTCACGTACGTTGTGCGTTCCTCCAGAGAAAGCGCGCATTCCATTCCAGACACGGGGACATTAACGTGTGAAGGTGGCGTACACGTGTGGAACTCTCATTCTGGTCTGATTACTCCTAAACATGGTGATGGGATTCCACATGTTAGACCCGGCTGACCAAAAAAAAGTGAACTCGAGAGGCTAATTACTCCACACAGACGGTGAGGTGGCAAAAGTAAATGGAGGAAGAAACTACTTTCCTAAGAAAAAGATGCAGAATAGACAGAACCGGGTATGACAAGAAAAGAAGTAAAGGTAAAGTGAAACAAATAAAAAGGATAAAACAGGAGCAGCAAAACAGAATAAAAAATATTTTCAACATACTTATCTTAGTTGTGTAAAATTAGTGTTATCCTAATATATTATTTGTTACAGACAAACTTCCCAGAAATTACACGGACAACCACTGGTGATGGTCATTTCTGATTATTTGGTCGTAAAATTTGTTTGGATTCTGATTGCTTCCTTCAGACACTGAATGAGTTTGTACGTTTGCTACAACTATTCCAATGTCTGGCTGGCTCAGTTGGTAGCACTTTCACATCTGAGCCAAAGTTTGTGGGTTAAAGCCCCACGTCGGGGACTTTGAACTCACAGCGTAGAATGACACTCGAATGCAGTCGGAGGTGCTGTCCTTCAGATTAGACATTAAAGGATATGAAGTCCCATCTGCCTATTCAGGTGGATGTTAAAGGTCCCATGGCACTGTTCGAAAGAGAAGGGAGTTTCTACTGGAGTCTTGGCCAAATATCTCCAAAATAAAATTGGCCGTTCATTTTATGGCTGTTTGTGAGACATTGCTGTGTGCAAATTGGCTGTTATGTTCACCTACAATTCTGTGAAAGCGCTTTGAGACATCGAAACGACAACGTGATAAGGTGATATAACAAATGTAAGTATTATTATTCATTACAACGCTCCGTGTATTTTATTTTATTAAGAGGCAAAACAAAAAAGCAGCAGTGCAAACTGAATCATAGATTAATGTAGGCTTGAGGGCATTTTGTTCAGATCTAAATTTAGCTATCTCCTGGCTAACAGGTTAATGGCTTTCAGAGAAGAGACTTTCATCTCATCAATCCAGACTAAATAAGAGTCTGGGTCCTAAAGTTAAAATGATGGTGCGTTTAACTTGCAACACCATCAAACAAACTGGGGTAAAAGTTCTGATATGAATTAAAGCATCCCTTAAATTGGGGACCCTCTCCTGGTTACAATACAGTTTAGAGTTATGCAATGCCTTTCTCCTCAGGAGGACATCCCAAAGTTAATAATGTTGGATGGATGTGGAAGGTGAGGGGAAAGATGAACAAAAATCCGGCAAAGAGATAGGTCTCAAGTTAGACCTTGAACAAGGTGAGGCAGGAAGTGAGCTGGAAGGACCCCGGGTAGGGTGTTCCAGACAGTGGAGGCAGAATGGCTGAAAGCCTGATCGCTGATGATGGTGAGGGTAGGGTGGGGGACATGAAACATGCTGGGCTTTCAGGGTATTTGCCCCCACTCTCTGGAACTCCATCCAGGAGGTCCTTTAAATCATCCCATTCCTTGCCTCCTCCAAAGTCCGCCTCAACACCTTCCTCTTCGACTCCACTTTTGCCCATCTTTCCCCCACTCACTGCCCTGACCCACCGACCCCCCGCTCAGGTGCAAATCCTGGAATGTCCAGGACATCGGAACATCCAGAGTGAAAGGCACTATATAAATGAAAATATGTAGTGTGTATAAATATATATGTATCCAGTAAATCAGTAGTATCATACAATCATACTCCTGCATCCCAAATAGTCTTCGACATCCCTCTTAAATATTTCCATTGACCAAAAATAAATCCATTGACTCAGTTGTTTGGTAGTCTATCATTCAGTATTATTGGTAAAATCTCTGTATGATTTTAAGCATTATTTCAAAGTACATCGATGGATACACTTTAGAGGTGTCAGCCTGGCTCCATTGACATAACTCTCGTCTCTGAATTAGAAAGTTGTGGGTTCAAGCTCTATGTTGGGACTTTGAGCTCAGTCTGGCTGATACTCTGGCTGTGCTGCATTGCTGGAAGTGAGGTCCCTCAGATGAGACGCTAAAGGTGCCCGTTCAGGTACCATTACAAATCCCTTGGCACTATATGAAAAGAGAACAGAGTTGCTCATTGTGTTCTGACCAAACAATCCCAGATTGTTTGTGGGACATCGCTATGTGCAAATTGCCAGCTGCGTTTACCTATAAAATACACAGTAAATCCTGTGAAACACTTTGAGCTGTCCTTCTGACATGAAAGAAGCTGTAACCAATACAAGGCTGATTAGCATTATCAAACTGACAAATAAAGGTACTCTTTCAACTATGAAACATTATGTGGTAAATGATCATTGTTCCAAAACAGTAAAGTACAACTTTAGGCAATATTCAAGGATGCAAAGGCTGATAATAGTCTTTATTTTATTTGAAAACCTGATATTAACACACCTGATAGCCATTCTGTTTATCAGAAACATTTCACCAACGTTACATTAGAAGGTAAAAGAAGCGTTGGTTAGCTATAGACTGAAACTGCAGACATTTTGAAAAATGCAATTCAAATCAACAACCCCCCTCTCCTGAGCAGGTTTCAAAGACTTGTCCTCAAAATAGCTTAAAGTTGAAGATAGCTCTATATAGGCACCTGCTTCAGTTTTTTTTCTTTAAATGCTCAGTATAATTCCCCCCAATTTTATACTTAATTTGTTTAATAAATAAAAAAAATTCTAGTCTTATTCCCCAGTAAGTCAAAAAAAAATCAGTGGCAAAATCTAGTCTTCAATAAAGCGGCTGGATTAAATCAAGAGCCTAAAGACGTCCTCTATAAAGATGCAATGGATATCTGTACATTCATCATATATTTGACAACACCGAATAAACTTCCGAGAACTTTATTGTGCTTTGTTAATCACAGCTCATTTCCAGATGACCATCTGCCAAGATACCTCTCTGGTAAATCCAGATGGAATAAAGCTCGCTAAACTCTGACTGATCGGAAATTTGGACAAAGCCACAGGCACGGAAAATAAAATAAGCACTCCCTCACCATCACTACCACCACCACCGACCCGCTCTTAGACACGGGATTTTGAGTTACTGGGAAATGCAGCAAAAGTGAGAAAAATACAAAAGAGTCTCATGACATTCATCAGTGCAGTCCAAAAAAAAGTGTAAGAATTAAACAGTGCTCAGCCTGTAAAGACGGTTCTACCAACCATTTACCCCATTACTAAACATTTCCATAAAACCATTAACCTTCAAAACACACAAGTACTGTATAGAACAAACAGGTGTTGTCAGTCTATTTGACAGGTCTTCCCCAAGAGGCAGAGTGTCCTCTGATAGTTCACTTAAACTGGCGTCAAAATCAAACCTATATAACATGAGTGTTCTTTATTCCTGTGCTTTATCACAAAAATCAAGTTTTATTAGCTATATTCCAATAAAAGAGGATTACAGCTTCTCTTACAGCCTATAAAACAAAATGTAGCCTAACCTTAAAGGGCTGACTCGAAATGTGGAATAAATACGTCAGAAATCAATGGTTTTCCGAGGGGTTAAGCAAGAATCCACCTTATCCTTGGGTTTGCATAATCAGCGGTTCAATGGGGTGGGCAGAGTGATTCAGATCTGGGAGAGAAGGCAGGCAGCATTTGATACAATCAGGAGCATTAGTCAAGTGAAGCTTGTTTATTAAAATCTTGAAAATGTTCTTTATCACAAAAAAATCATAAAACATTTTTGCATCAGTTGTGATGGCAGTGCTGGGCCCTGGAACATTTCCTTACTGCAGCCAGTGACAGTGTCAAGAGCTCCGGAGGTCAGGCCCACCGTTGGTCAGACACAATGCAAAGCTCCCATTATTACTACTTGTACTCCGACAAGCTGCCTTAAACCTAATCCCATTGCTCACCACTCCACAAACCACCCTGATCTTTAAGACTTCTTTGAGTGACACTGCCAAGTGAATACCAATTGTGCCAAATTAGAGAGGGATTTGTTTTTGTTTTGTTGCTTATACGTGCACTGCAGAAACCAGGAAGCAAATGCTCAAACTCGCTTATTGCAAACCAGACCCCCTCACGGGAAGGAAAAGATGGATTCACATTTTGTCCATTAGCTGGATTGAAGCCCAGTTACAAGAGCGTAATGTAAAACCCATCCACCCAACCCCCCTTACCCTCCTTCCAATCCCTGGAACAGCCACATCCTGACAGATGTTGCCAGGTTTGATTTGAGACACATTTCGAAATAGAAACAGTACCACCCACACCTCAGGTGCCTGTCGAGAAGCTGCTTAACTGTACTGTGAGACCAACCAAATCCAATCCATTGCAAAGACTTTTTAAAAATAAACACAATCAGGAATGAATCGGTAGTCCGAGCTCCACATTAGCTGTTCTTTTTTTTATATATAAAAATCGCCATGTGTAAATTCAGGACATCTCACATGAAAAGTTTTAGACGACGCACGGAGTAAACATTTAAATGCCTGGGCCACGACACTGGGCTGAGCGGAGAAGAGCTTCAACACTGTAGGGCGGTGTTCATACCTGCTCTCGTCTGTCCACCCTGGAGTGACGGTCTCAGCCCCCCGGTGAGTGACCAAAAATCAATGGTTACTGACAGTGATACACGCTAATGAGAAACCACACTCCACAATTCCACTAAGAGATGAATACAACCTTGTGAAGATCACTTGGCAGACAGGTCGCAAAGACCTGTCAACAACAACCCCCCAAAAAAAACAAAAAAACAAAAGGCTGGTTTATAACCAACTCAGGGTATTTATAAACTTAGTGCATCTCCGAGTTCACTTTATCCTGAAATATGTAGAGATTGTTTGTGGCGGCCACAGCTATTATGTTCTCTGTCGGGTGCCAGGCCGTGTGCAGGATCTTCTTGTTAAAGTCTAAACTGTCAACACTAATTTCGTCTTTTCTCCTCTTGCCTCCTGTGCACACTTTGCGTGGTTTGAGGATGGCCCGTGGTTTGCTGTTCTCCCTGGAAGCTTCCAACGTGACGTCCCGTTTCGTGTTGCGATCAAACATCCTGAAGAAGTTGTTGTAGGCGCCGGTCATAATTACACTGCGGACAAGGGGAGACACACAAACTTCAGTCAGGGCAGCACAGACACTTCAAAACGTCAGTTCCGCACAAATCAACCTCAATTACGAATACTTTAAGGAATGCACATTCGTCAAAGCACAGATAGTAGCAACAAGAAATATAGAGTGAAAGGATATTGCAGTATTATAATATATTGGTCGTTTTGATATGTCCCTGTTTAACAACCTGTTTCACAATCAGAGGCGATGTAATTATATCCAAATGACATAGGTACTTTCACTTGAGGCATCTGTGAAAACTGAGAGGTGCCAGCATTTTGGTTCATGTTCAACCATCACAGATCCTGGAAGTCGTCTTAAGCCCAGACAGAATTTGGGGAAACGAAGATAGAGCAACGTTTCCTCACTTTGAAATGACGAGAATACAATCAATCAATACAATTCGGAAGCAGAGAAATTTGTCTACCAAGTAGTCTCATATTGTCGATGCTCGGCTATTAAATTGGATTTAAATTTTGTAGTCTAGAAATGTGCACGTACATAAACTCATACATACATAAATATAAATACACACACACATGCACTCATGTATATACATGTGCACAGTTGCTCATGCGCACACTCAAACACTCACATGTACATACACACACAAAATTGGGTGGGTATTCATCCGAACCAATCCTGTGATAACTATGAACATCCTAAACTCTTAAAAGTTATTTACATTGTGGTAAAGCGCGCTAGCATTTTACATGCAATAACAATTTTTCTAAATAAATTTTGTTCAATGTAAAAATGCCACAAGTCCTTATCCATTTATACCCCACATAGGTTTGTATTTCCTACACCTCCCTGGATCAAGCCACAAACAAAGGTTGTGACAGTTTTAACTTGTAGAAAAGGCATTCCCAGTACACGGAGTCAGCTCTAAGGAACCAAGTGTACTAGTGTCCTAGGCTGAAGAGGAAAATGACACCTGCTAAGCAGATGGCAGTGCTGCTCTTGTTTGAGAAGTAGACTTATTTGTCATCGCATGGTTAAACATTTCCACTCGACATAAATCTGAAACGAAACAGTATCCTTCAATCAATGCACATAAATATTTTCAGTATTTTGAAAAATGTCTCATTAAAACTTTATTTTTAAATGCTGAGATTAATATCCATATTGATAGCTTAGAAAAAACATTTCATCACCAATAAGCACTCCTGCCCCTTAAATCAATATGTTTGTTTTAAAATTCATTGTATTGCCACTCCTTCTTCCTTGGGTCACATAACAAGAGAGAATGGTTTCACAGGTTAGGCAACTCCCAGTACTTCACCCAATAGGGCATTCTTCATGTGTGATCAGTCTGGATAGTGAGTCTTGGCAGATTAGTTAACTACAGGAAGCATGTAAGGGTATCAAGGGATATTGGGCAAGGGCGGATTATTGGGGCAAGGGTAGGTAATTGGGGCAAGGGCGGTTAACTGCTGCAAGAGTGGGTAATTGGTGCTGAGGTACAAATCAGCCATGATCTTACAGAATGGTGGAACAGGCTCGAGGGACTGAATGGCCTACTCCTGTTTCTATGACTGTTTGTGGGACATTGCTGTGCTCAAATTGGCTGACAAATTCCCCAATAAAAATACATAGTCACTGCACTGTACAGTAAACAGTATCCTGTGAAGCACTTTGAGACATTCTTCCGGACTTGAAAAGCGCCATATCAAACTAATGGATTATTATTAATAGCATTGCAGTCTAGCTTGGTCGTGTTCCCCAGTGTTCACTTGCAGAATATAAGTACAAGATTTAAAGCAGCGCTTCACAATCCAAAATAACACAACTCATCAGAACTGCATTCATCAACAAAGCAACTCTAAACCTGCTACACATTATACCCTGTTAATAATAAAAAGTTGAGGTGCGATTTCAATTAGAAACAATCCCCCAAATCCTATTTAGCAAAGAGCGAGACACAACAACAAATTACATTAGACAGAGAAAGAGAAACAAAATGAGAGACAAAAATAAATAAAAGAGTGAAAAAGAAAGAAAAAAAAGGAGAGAAAGAAAACTTCAGATAGGAGAGTGAGTGAGATGGGATGAAGGTGTTTTAGATGCATTTCGAAACAGAGGAGGTGAGGCAGAGCCATTTAGAGAGTGGGGCAAAGTGTCTGAAAGTTCATCAACTGGGCCGGGGTGGGTGGGGACATGAAGCACATGGAACGGAGCGAGTAAGACCACAAGAGATGGCAGAGGTGGGGTGCATCACTCAATTCCATGATCACCTCACCCCCAAGCAGCTGAAACTCTAATCCATGCCTTTGTTACTTCCAGACATACCTCTTTGACCACACTTTCAGTCATCTTTGTCGTGTGTGAGAGGATGTGGGCTGTGGAGTTCTGGATGATCTGGAGCTTGTGGAGAATGAAACCAGGAAGGTGGGAGACCGGCAGGGCATTGATGAAGTCAAGTATACGAAACAATTTACATTTATACAGTGCCTTTCACATCAAGAGGACATCTCAAAGCCATTGACACTGCTGACTGGGCATCCAAGCTGGAGGTGGGGAGGGGAAAGATGACTGAAAGTGCAGTCAAAGAGGGACGTCTTGAGGTAACAAAGGTGTGGATGAGAGTTTCGGCTGTGTTTGGGGGTGAGGTGATCATGGAAGTGAGCGACAGAAATGGAGGAAAGCAGGTTTAGTCAGAGCCCAAATGAAAGGTTTGAAGGAGAGTTGAAGGTTGAACAAAACACCAAGGCTCCCTGCACAACAACCAATCGGCATCCGAGAACAGGCATTTTAAGCTTAAATTCGATTCTGAAGCAAAGCCTTTTCCAAAAAGAAAACAAATACCTTAACATAAATGAATGAATAATCTGTGCACACCTTATGCCAGGAGAGCAAGTGGAGCTCAGAGGGATATTCACTTGCCTTATCCAGCTGCCGAGAAACTATTTTGGGCTACAAACCATGGCAGAATTAGTGTAATATATTGGTTGGATCTGCCTTCCTTCCCTGTAATCGTCTTCTATATTTAACACAGACCTAATTGTGTGCACTTTTAACTTGGTGATAAATAAGCTGCCGTGCCGGGCTCCATGGTTCTCTCCCACTGCAAAGCTACCCGATTAGTCTCAGTTAACTCCCATCGAGAGCCAGGTGACAAATGTGTCACACGTGCGTCCAATATAAATCATTTCCTTGGGTCTGTGATCAGTCTGTTGATTACAATTAGAGTATATCAATCACAGTCTAAACACCACAGCAGTGACCGTATTTAATAAGGATCCTTTTGCTCTTAATATAATACTTACAAGTATTTATGCACCAATAATATTTCACCACCCACATATTTTTTAAATATATGTTTTTTTTTCTTCCCCTCGTTGACCTTCCTCTCACCCTCTCCCCTCCCCACCATCCTGCAAAACCCGCTAATGTCCATCTCAGATCACCTCATCTCATCCTTCTGTGAAAAGCTTCTGTACCCACTATTGTGACTGTATACAGCACTCATTACTTAAGCCTAATAATAATTAATAATAATTCAAAGTACAGGGTTTATTATGACACGATTAAGGAGGAGCCTTAAGGCTACTAAGTTCACCTACAAATACATAGTCACTACAACTCTGCAGAAACTTTGTGAAGCGCTTTGAGATGTTTAACGCTATAGGTACCACATCAAATTGCAAGATCACAAGAAAGAAAAAAAGGCCCTTTGACCCATTTGATTTCATTCTTTCAGAATAGCCACCGTAACGTTCTCCCATCACAGCGTCAAGCAGTTCCATGAATAAGTCTAGTGTTCTGGCCACAACCACATTCCAGGTAACCTGTTCCAGTCATTAATTACTTTCTAGGTAAAAATACTCTTCCTGGTGTGTCCTGAAATCGCCCTTTGCAACCTGTGCCCTTATTCTAATACCTGGGGTATTTGAAAGTATTGTTCTGAGTTTACTTTCTCAATCCCTTGGGGAATCTTATATACTTCGATGAGACCGCACTCTAAGATAACCCTTTTCAATGCGGAAGAGTTTTAAATTGTCTAATTGTTGCTCATACATCGTTCCTTGAATACTATGGCTCATCCTTGTGGCACTACCTCTTGGACCAAGGCAGCCTCCTTATATGGTAGTGACCAGAATTGCATGCAGGACCACAGGGATTGCCTAACCAAGCAGTGAGGATGACCTCTGCAGGGATCAGTGTTAAAGTTGCATTCACACCTCACAAATTCTACAATGTGATGGAGAGGGCAGCTGAGGAGCTTGAGTGGGTAGTGTCGGGTTTACCTGTCTGAGCCATTCCACGCACATTCAAATTTGTCAAAGATGCAGTCATTCTCATAAAGAGAACAAAGTTTGCTCCGGAGGTAATCATGAACCTGTAATAAAAAAAAGCATCATTTATAATATTAAACAATTAAAAATAAGAAAGCAACAGCAACCGATTAGCAATTTATATTTTAATAGGAATAAGATTGAAAAGGCTATATTGGTAAATTCAAAAGAGCTGGATAGACTTGGGGTTTAAAAAATGCTTATGAGGCGAGAGAGACTATCATATCTTTTAAACATTGGGTCCTGTCAGATTGATGGTTGACTGCAACCATCTCCTCCAATGCTCAATATTCCTATGTGAATACACCAAACCTCCAGTGATTAGTGCTGTGTAAGCCAGAGCATTAGCTTCTTAACTTACCCAACTACAGCTTAAATTGACATTATATTTAGAAGTAATTACACAACAAACAGGAGTATTATTCCGTTCACAGATTTTGTTCCTTTCCCTACTGTTTCATTATGTCAAAGCCCATCTTAAGCAGTTTCCATTATATATAAGGTCGTGCCACAGAGCATTTCTCTATTGCAATGTGATTTTCATATTAGGAGAATGAACCTACAAGCTTTACCAGTGTGCTTCAGTGAGACACACACACAGAAACACAAGGTAAATTCTAAATGGACTAAGTAATACTGATATAGAAGTGGTTCACTAAGACATTTTAATCCCCCTCTTACACAAACTACTACAAATTGACATTGTAACTAAACGCTTATTTGCCTTTCAGCATTTATTGACATTTAGACATTATTGCTTCATTTACCTGCCTTACGTATACTATTGATTTGAGAGAAGAGATAAACAAAATCTCCTAAAGGGTAAAATAAGAGACTAATCAACTTTGAAAACAAATCTAAGGCGAGTTATTCATTGACTTTAAACACTATCTCTGTGCTTGTGTTTGTTTTTAAAATGTGACTCACACATACAGATTTTGGAATATATACGCAGGTAAGCAATTATCATGAGGCACTGCACAGAATCCTGTTGTGTTATCAGCCAATGTATCAGATGTGAATCCTGCCTCAAGCGAAACCTCGGGCAGTTAGAGAAATGAAATCCAGGGAGAGATGTCAGAGCATCGATTTGAAGTTGGGTTTCAATTTAATTCTACCTTTGACCAGTCATTAATCTCAATACTTCTGTATTCTTTTATATTGCCCAATACAGCCAAGGTACAAATACCAAACTAAAATTACTGTAGAGATTTTTTTAAAAATCAGGTTTTAAATAAAATGACACAAATCAGTCAATATGGCGTAATTAAATGTTTTTTGCACTGCTCAGATTTTAGTGCCTTGGGACGTCCTCCTGACGTGAAAGGCGCTTTACAAATGTAATTTTGTTGTTAATGTAAAAACTGTGCAATATCTTAAAATAATATGATTGCGAGAAAGAACTGTACCGGAAATTTGTGCAAAAAGCTGTAACGTTCATGATAAAATAGATGTTAGCAAAATGAACGATGCCCTTTAGTGACAGGGACCAGATTTTAGGTTTAGCACATTCCAAGCTCCTTGAATTGTCTGATCTCAAGGTTTATGCAGAATACCTGATACGTTTCTATCGGCTTGGTTTCCATGTTCAGGTCCCAGACTTTGACAGTGAGGTAATCCCGTGTCATCATGTAGCGGCCACTGTGACTGAACTTCACATCAGAAACAGACGAGGTTATCTCAGAGAAGAAGAAGCGGCCGCTGGGATCTTCCGGCTCCTCAAACACTGGGGGAAAAGGAAAGGACAGTAAAGAGCAGCTCAGTAATACGATGTTGTTAAAGGCAGCCATGTGGTGAAGCACACATTTTATTAATGTACAAAATCCCCACATATCTTTGCCAGTGTAACAATAACAAATACAAACCTTGGGTTTGATATAGCGCCTGCAGCGTCAAAATGTCTCAAAGCGTGTCACAGAAAATTGCTGTAGTTACAGTGCAGTTACTGTATATTTATTTGTAGGCGACATGTAGCCAATTTGCAGACAGCAATGTCCCACACATGGCCATGAAGTGATTGACCAATTTTATCTGGAGGATTGTAACATTGAAGCAGTTCACAAAATACACCAGATTGATAATTGGGATATCTTCTATCAGTAACCATCTGTCAATCAATCAGCATAGATGACATAACAGTCATGAGCCTTGTTGTGTGAATGCCTTTGCTTCAGCACTAAGTAGCCTTAATAGCTTGGAATAGGTCTAATTGCTGATAGCGTCACCAAAACCAACCAAAATACACCAAAACCTACATATAAGCAGAAAAATAGATGTCACCGACAATATTATATACAGTAATTTGTGGGTATTTATTTCTGTGTATCAATCACAAATCCCTCCATTCCCTCTCTGATCTCAACCCACAGCTCAGGTGCAAACCCCTCATTGTCCAGTGTCTTGAGACGTCCTCCCGACGTGAAAGGCGCTATATAAATGCTATTTGTTATTGTATGGATGCCAATCATTCTCCACAAGAATACTCATATCTCAAAATACCTTCTCCACTAGGCTGATGCAATGTATTTCACCCCATTCAATAGTGGCACAGTTTTAATCCTGGGTTAAACATGTGATCAAACTCACAGATGAGCACAGGTGCACAATGTGGAATACATCAGGAGTCCGACACGTATTCAGAGTGAAACATTTATTGGGGGGAGGTGGTCAGCCGAGTGTCTGACACATGCGGAAATCCATCACCGCGCTTAAAAGAATGAGAATTCCATGCATCCCGCCTTAAACGTGGAAATTCCAGAGGTAGATTGTTGGAGAGAATGAAACCAATGGCTGGATTTTAAATATGAAAAAGACAAATTGCTAAAGGTTTTGAAAGAATAGTTATCAGAGTAGCTGTCTAATGGTTTGAAATTCACACCAAGTTTGAAAAGCAAAATAAGATGCTTACAGCCAACAGAGGAACGAGGCTTGCGCCTCAGCTAAAACCAGATGCAAACTCATGCCCGAGTGCTGAAAGGAGTGTTTTCTAAAGCCAGTTTCCCTTCTGGCTTTTCACTTTAGCTCACTATCATTAGGTTTAGTTAATTGGTCCTTCAGATGAGGCGTTAATCTGAGGTCTCGTCTGCCCGTTGAGGTGAACGTTAAAGATCCCAAGGCACTATCTGAAAAGAGAATACTAGCCAACAACCGCCGCCCCCCCACCCCCTCCATACAGATAAAAGCTAAAATTAGATCCACCACTTCTTGGCTGTTTGTGGGACATTGGTGTGCAAACATTGACTGCCGTGTTCGCCTACACAATACACAGTGACTGCACCTACAGTAAATCCTGTAGGGCTTTGCGACGTTCTCCCTTCAAACTCCTGTATTGTTGAGCTCTCCGAGGCGCTACTCCCCATGACAGGAAAGGTGTAATATCAAATGTAAAGATTATTGTTTTCAAGGAAAATTTTGGCTTAATGAAGATAGCAGGCTATATACAAGCAAACAAAATCAAGGACACATTTGAATGAGTCAGAGTGGGCCATGGTTACTATATGTTCAATTACAGATTTTCTGTAGGGGATTCTTCAAATGAATATTTAGCAGTTCTACTTTACTGGATGCAAGCTGACTTGATTAGTACAATTATACAACATGCCAATGCCAAGTCATTTTCAAAACTGCTTCACATTGAACCGGTTATCAAGCAGCGAGCAATCATGTTTTATAACTACATGTACTGCATTACCTTCAGGCTATTTATTAGCATACTTGCCTCTTGGGCTGATTAGCCCAGCATGGTGTCATTCAGATACAATGACAACACTAGTCTGAACCCCTGAGTAATTATTTCAGATTTGGGTCCTGCATTTTCGATGAATATTTTAAGTTTAGTGCGTTCTGCGCATTGCAACATTTCACGGTGTAACCCGTTATAGGAAGTGATGGCAAGTGCACAAACTGGAACAAAGCAGACACAACCATCGTATAGATTCTAACCCACTCTGAAGGGCGGAAGGATTTTTTTTCCATTTAAATGTCAATAGGCATGTGGAACAAACTATCAAAGCTGGTTTAGGAGTAAGGAACTCCGGTATAAAACACGACTGGCAAATTGTTGGAAATTGAATGGGCTCAGCATTATTCAATGCTGGGATAAATATGCTGAAGGCAGCTTTTGGACAGTTAGATGGGTAGCGTACATGGACCGATGGGCTACTTCTGCCTAAAACTGTTACTGTGTTATTATGAAGCCATAATAATAAATAAAAAATCAAACAAATATAAAACAAGTGAAATCAATCCAAATTAGACCAATGCTGAAATCCACATCAGCAAGGGTTAGCCTGGCTCAGTTGCCATCACTCTCGCCTCTGAGTTGGGTTAATGATAAAGCTCCACATTGGGACTTCAGCTCCTTGTCCAAGCTGATACTGCATTACAGTACTGGAGGATCACTGAATTGACAGAGGTCATCCTTCAGAGCAGACATTAAACTGATGTCCCCTCTGCCTTTTTACAAACTTTTTTGATGTGCTCAACAGTTCTTCTAATAAGTTGATCATTCATGGCTGTTTGTCGGTCCTTCCTGTGTGCAAATTGACGACTGTTGCCCTTCTCAAATTGATACCAGGCAGGGCACGTTCTGTTATTTACACCAGTGCACATCGAAAGGAAACAAACCAAATATCTAGGAATAACTAAATGGGTTGACGATCTTACATACCGAATATAAAATAGTTTCAACAAAGAGAATTAGGAAAACAAATTTTCATTATTTACCCACAAATATCCAAGTGCCATTTTGGTTCAGTTGGTAGCACTCTTGCCCAGGTTGGAAGGTTGTAGATTCATGTCCCATGCTAGGACGTAAGCATAACATTGGCTCCAGTGCAGTACCACAGCAGTGGTGTGTTGTCAGAGGAGCTGTAATTCCCTATGGCAAACTGATCTTACCAGCCCGGTCAAGTGGATGTAACACATTGCATTGCAATTATTTTTTAAAAAAGGGAATTCGTTGGATTGGGGTGACCTGGTTGCTGTTTGTGGAATGTTGCTAGTTCAGATGAGCTGATACATTTGTCTTACATTAAGAGATACCGTTATGTCAAAGCAACTCCTTGGGTGAAGCCGTCCAAGGCATTCTGCCATGATAAGGGGCTAAATAAAATAATATTTTAGAACGAAACAAAATATTAGATTTTAACTTTTTAGAAAAAAACAAAAGACTTTTAGTCTTTTAGTACAAACTACAGGACACCAGTTACTTGCTGCATTCTGACAGCAGATTTGGCAACACAAGCATAAAAAGGTGTTTCGGTTTAACCTAATGAACGACTGAACATGACTCGACTAACCAGCAGTGCGAGCTGCACCTCATGTAGTAGTGGCGACCTTTTCCAGTCCTAATCACACTCAATCACACTGCTACTCTGCTGTTTCATTAATCTGGGCTGCTTGTAATTTGTTGTCACGACTGCAGTCTGAAGATATCCTGCTGAGGGACAAAACCCTTCTCTTTGTTTTGGAGAATAAAAACTACTCAATTCAGTCTTTCCAAGAGTTTTATTTCAGCTCAACACTGCAAAGCAAAAATGAGAAATGGAAACGGGGAATAATTATAATAATCCTTGCATTTAATATAGAGTCTTACCACGTCGCTGAAACATCTAAAAGGGCGTTGCAAGATTTTACTGTAATGTGTTGTGACCGTGTATTTGCAGGCAAATGCAGTAACCAATTTGCACAGTAAATATCCCACAAACAGCCAAGTGAATGCTACCAGTTTTACCTGGGGGAATTGTTGGCCAGGAATAAGGAGTCTTTTCTAATGACACCGTCCAGCTGATAAGCATCCCACCATCTCAGATAACGTTAGTGAATCCTGATAATGTGATACACCATGAATACCAAACAGTTCTGCTGACACATGTCCTGCCTAACAAAGTTCATCTCATTGTGTGGGATTAAACTCATCATTTGCAGTGTCAAATGGTGCAACACTTGCAAGCCTCTCAAATTCCACAGGCAGTGCAAATAATTGCATCCATTATAGTTGAACCTATAATATTTATGTCGATTCTCCTCCTTAAAAGTTACCACAGTACTAGGGAACAGCAATTTTTATGTTCCTAATTCAGTTTAAATTTCACATAATCTCCTTTTTCTGGATCATATTCTTGATATGGTCTTGATGCCCTTGCCCCCCTCACCTCCCGAACTGCCTGCTACTCATGACCCTCACCCTGGTACAACAGCCACCTCCGCTCCTTCAAGGATCAGGTGCGTGCCGCTGAATGCACCTGGCTCAAATCTGATCTAACAGTACATCGGCAGATCTGGTTGGACCACATCAAAACATACCGCTCCACCCTTGCCTCTGCCAAAACATCCCTCTACTCCAAGATAATCTTGGAGGCAAAGGACAACTCCAGGCTTTTCTTCTCTACTACCAACCGGCTATTCCGTCCACGCTCCCATGTCTCGCCCATTCTCTCCTCAAATTCTGACTGTGAGGAGATGCTGGATTTCCTCGAGTCGAAAATCGAAAGGATATGTTCAGCTGTCTCCGTCCTTCCAACTGCCACTCCCTCCCCATCTCCCCCACACATTCCGACCCCTACCCATCCCTCCATCCACATCTTCGAATCTGTTTCTCCCTCCTCTCTCATCACCACTGTATCCAGCGTGAAACACACAACCTGCTCCCTTGACCCCATCACCACCCCTCTCTTTACCTCCCAGCTACACCTCCTCACCCTTCTACTCTCCAACACCATCAAT